AACAACAGCATCACCTTCAACACCACAACCAACAACAACAATTGTCCAGCCTACAAGCTCACCAGCGCATTCCGCCGCTGCACCACGCCGCCTACTCGGCCGCCGCCTACTCCAGCCTGGCGGGGCAGAGCCAGACCCCCGGTCTGTCCGGCCTGACCGGCCTGTCCGGTCTGACCGGTCTGACCGGCCTGTCCGGCCTGTCCGGTCTGCCGGTCGACCTGCACTCGGGCCAATCGGACGCCTTCTACTCCAGCCCAGGGCCCACCGCGACAGCCGCAGCTCGGCATCCCGTCTCCTGCCTGGCGGCCGCCGCCGCCGGTCACTCCGGCGCTCAGGCAGTTGCCGCCGCTGCTGCCGCACATGCCGCCTACGAGAAGCATCAAAAGGCTGTCGCCATGGCAGCAGCAGCTGCCGCTGTAGCTGCTCAACACCAGCACCACCAACATATGCATCAACACCAGCAGCACCAACAGCATCAGCATATGCAGCAGCAGCAGCAACACCACTACCAAATGAGCCAGCAACACCAACACCAGTCTGCCCATCAGCACTCGGACCAATCGGTAGAAGCGATGCTGCCTTCGCAGATGCCCTTGCACACCAACCTCACCTCAGGCCAACATCAACATGGCGCCCAACATGCGTTATCATCACCTGCGGCCACGGCGACGGCGACGGCTACGGCCACGGCAGCCGTCCAACAGCAAAGTCAGCACCACCAGCAACAACAACACTTGCGGCATCATCATCATCAACAACAGCAGCAGCAGCAGCAACAACAACAACAACAACAACAACATTCGATGGTAACGTCAATTCATGCCTCGCATGATCTGTCGCTGGCCGGACTGACGTCATTGCCGCCGAACGCCGGTGCTCAAACGCCAGGACACCAGTTGGCCTCGCCGCTGTCTCTGCCAATGCCGATGCCGCTGTCGACGTCGCAGATCGGCCAGCAGCATAATCATCAACATCAACACCAACACCAACACCAGCAACAGCCTCAAAGCCAACACCACAACCAGAATCAGCACCAGCATCCGTTCGCGGGTCTATCGCAGCGCCGCAAGCGTCGAGTACTCTTCACACAGGCCCAAGTCTACGAGCTGGAAAGACGCTTCAAGCAGCAGAAGTACCTCTCAGCCCCCGAGCGTGAGCACCTCTCACAGTTGATCAACCTCACGCCCACGCAGGTAGGACTTTGCAAGTCTCCGTCCCGTTGCCTATTCGGCCAATCATATACTCGTCTGTGTGAATGTCCTTTGCTACATCAATCAATCTGTCTGTCTGTATTATTGTATTACAACATGTCTAACAAATTAATGCGTGTTTGTACGTAAATATACAGGGATAATTATCAGTCAGTCATTTTGCATTTCAATATAAATATGTAGGGTTTTAGTTTATACCATAAAGTCTATTCTCTCCTCTCCTCTCTTCTCCTCTCTTTTCCCCTCTTCTCCTCTCTTCTCCTGACTTCTCCTCTCTTCACTTCTCTCCTTCCTCTCCTCTTCTCTCCTCTCCTCTCCTCTTCTTTCCTCTTCTCTTCTCTTCTCTTCTCTTCTCTTCTCTTCTCTTCTCTTCTCTTCTCTTCTCTTCTCTTCTCTTCTCTCCTCTCCTCTTCTCATCTCATCTCATCTCATCTCATCTCATCTCATCTCATCTCATCTCATCTCATCTCAT